TATATATATATACCTGTGTCGGCAACGTATCGCATGAACCACTGAACAGATGCGGCAACGTATCGCATGAACCACTGAACAGATGCTAAAGTTAAAGTTTCAGAAATTTATCACTAGTTGTACATCTAAAATCTGATTAACTTTTGGAGTGATACCAATGAWGACTTCCACCAGCTCAACTTAGAAAACACCAAAACCTCTATAATTCTGTCATTTTTTGCAAATATTGAGCTAAATTTTAATGTAGTAGAAGCTAAAAAGCATCTCTGAAACATATTTTAAACAAAATATTGAGCAAAAATATTTGCTTAAACTTTGCCATTACCCATTGAGCTGTGTGGGTTTCACATTCCTGACTTCTGCTTTCCAGGTCTCCTCAACAAACGTCTGACCTCTCCTGGCCTTATTTATTAAAAAGTGGAGGAGTTGTGTTGACCTGGCCGGAGTAACTGGAAGGACATTTTTGCTGCGCACCAGCAGCTGTCTCAACATTCAGAGTGTACTTTCTGCAGCTTGCATTGTCAGGAGGTCAAGAAAAAGTCAACAGTGGGCAGAAAAAAAAAAGGCAAACACCACGACCAATGTCTCGAATATCCCTTTAGTTTTATTTTACCATAAAAATACCTCATTTGAAGAAACTGTTGTGGTAATTAAACACTTTKCCGTCTACCTCATGTGTTTTGTTTATGAAAATAATTTACCTGAGGAGCCGTTTGGACTGGAGTTAAATCAAGTTTATGTGTTTGTGTTTAAGCTCAGATTTGCTGAGTAAAGCAAATAGATGAAATGTAGGTTAATAATAAACTTATCAGTTTAGGAAAAAGGTTYGCAAATGTTTATGTTTGAATTCCAAGCTCTGTATTTATGGCACTCTTCCACGCTGATTGAGCACTGAGGTTTATTCGTTTTTATTTTCTTTCTGTTTCTTTGGTGTTAAAGATTCACACGTATATTTCCACCTATCTTCTCTGAGGTTATACGCTTGTCCAATGCCACCATATTTGTTTACCACAGAGTAAGGCCAGCCTCATGTAGGCCAATCACCTGACTCAAACTTCCCTGTGGTCTTTTATTTTCATCGAGTGTGGACCCACATTTCAGAAATGTCTATCTGGAAAACTACTGAGTAAACTCTTTCAAACAGCACAGTTTGTAGTTCAGGATAACCATTTTCTGGTTTAATAGCTTTGAGATGGCTGGGGCAGTGAAGGGTTAATGTGAGGCCAAGGAAACCTGATGCTAATTGAGTCTCAGGAATGCCACACTCTGTGGAGCAGGAGCTCAGAGTGGGTCAGACGTGGGAAGAGCCAACTAATGTTTGGTTCTAATGGTTTTATTTCTTACCGATAGCCTGTAGAACCAGTCTAACCTAGAGAGGTAATGTCTCCAGAGGAAAAAGTTTACTTTCAGTGGTGGAAGATGAGGATTTTATCTTAAAGGAGGAGGTTTTGGAAAGTTTTTCATCACAAAATTAGTATTTTTCCCCCCTCCCAGTGTGTCGTTTGGAGCATATGTGCAAAATGTTTTTCCTGACATCAGTGCTGTCGATGTTGGTCCTCTGGGGGTCTCTGCCCGACGCAGCTTCAACGGAGATGTGCCGGGGGACGCACTGCTTCGGCGGGGACTCAGAGGGTCCAGGCAGCAGGACCTCCAAACTCCCACGGCAGTTCAACCCGACTCAGTGGAGAGCGGCGCAGACGGGAGGCAGCCAGAACCACCACGTCTATCCAGGCTCTCCAAGAGCGCATTCAGAAACCAACCCGTCCGTCCCGCTGCTCCGCGCGCGTAATGGAGACGGAGGCGCACAGACGAGGATGCCTGGAGGGTGTGTGGAGGCTGACTGCATCGCTGCTGGGAAGCAGTTTCAGCAAAGTAATGACACCCGAGACTGTAAAGGGATCGAGTGCAGGCTGCCGCCGAGGATTCGGCCCCAAGCTCGGGGAAGGTCTTGTGTTGGAGAGGGATGTCCCGCCGCTTCCTATGAGACTGTCTCCGCTGCTGCACACCTGTCCCCGGTCTATTTGTCCGACAGAGCTGCACAGTTTCTGGGAGATTTCCCGGAGCTTGGACATGCCTCTTCTGAACACGGAGGAGCACCTTTAGGAGTCCAGCTCACATGTGACATAAAGCCAGGTGCGTTATGTTTGCCTTTTGTTTGTTTGAACACTTAGGATGTTCTTCCAGATGTCACTCTGGGTAGCGCAACTGTGTTTGCTGCATGACCGGTTTCACCTGTTCCCCCATGTTTGTCWTGTATGTCTTCTTGAATGGGTGTTTCTTAACTGCCCCCTCACGCCTTCCCTGAATGCACAGCACCTTGTGAATTTATTTCTGTGAAAGGCGCTATATAAATAAAACTTAACTTTTACTTTTACTCTSTGCAGATTAGTATCAGTAAGTCTGAACCATTGATAACTTTAAATTGTATACATTTTTCCTGATCAATGAACTCCATTGATGTATTTGTTGGACAGCTACACTGTAAAATGTGTTTTTGCTGAATTGTTTCATTTCAATATTTATTTACTAAAAACATTTGGTATTTTGTTCAGGTAAAATAAGATTATTAAATAAATCCTCAGCAATAAAAAGGTAAATTGGAGTTGTTAAATTAATTATGATTATGCTTCATTTTGACTTTAGAGGTCAGTCAGGCTAGTGAATGGGCCCAAATGTTGGTTCCAACCCAAACTTTGGGTACCACTGAACTAGAGGATCTGTTATGGAACCATTGCAAAGTGTTCTGTTGTACCAAGGCAAAGTTATTTCAACAAGTTTTACAGTGTAGCGGAAGTAAAAATGTCTCAAAGTCAGTTATTCAAAAAAAGTGAACATGCTTTGATCTAAAAAAATGGTGAGCAAGTCCTCAGGTTCTTCTTTGTTGAAWTGTTTWGCTTTTTCTCCGAGCAACTTCTTCAGTCTGGTTATTGAGATGCATCAGGACAACATGCTTTGATGTGTCTGGACACACAAAAGCACATTCCCTGTTTCAAAACAAAACAAAACTTAAGCAAACATTAATTCATTGTGCATTCGTTTCACCTCAGGGGAGAATGAAGTTCCTTCAGAAGATGCCCTCATCCTGCACCTCCAGCTGGCCAAGGGGCAGGAGAAGCTGGTGGAGGCCCTGCAAGCCCAGCAGGTGATCATTCGCGACCTGCAGCAGAAGCTCGTCCACCAGCAGGAGGCTCTTCTYTCCCAGCAGCAGGACGTCCTGGAGCAGCAGCGGCGCATGTACGAGCAGATGGACGCAGTGAAGGCCCAGTTCAGCCTCCTGTCAGACACCTTCAAGCAGGTCTCCTTCCAGGGCCTGCAGGGCGAGCTGCAGAGCTACTTCGAGAGCCACCTGGCGGGACTGCAGAGCCAAGCCCGCAGCCACCTTCAGAAGTCCTACGCCGTGCACAAAATGGACATTGACTCAAAGGTGGTGGACATCGTTGGGGAGGCCCATTTCCCCGAACCTCTGCCGGGTTGTCCATCGCCCTGTGGTTCAGAGGAGTTCTGTGATTTTCAAAAGGATCCACCCCAGTGTGGGAAGTGCACCATGTGTCCCCCGGGCTTTTTCCTGATTTCACAGTGCTCCCCGACAGCAGACAGAATGTGCCAGGTATAAAACTTCACACCAGGCTACATAAAAAATGATAACAATTCATGTCATCTGTAAACTGAAAACCAACTTATAGAAAAAAGAGGAAGTTGATTGTTGAGATTTGACGGTGCGGTGGTAAAATGTGCCAACCAACTGGCATGATGTTTTCAGAAAGTAACACATTTTTAAAAATAATGTTCACAAGTGCTCATAATTACGTTTATATGAATTGCAGGACAGAGATGAATGCCTCGAACTACCAAACATTTGTGGAGAACGAGTGAAATGCCTCAATACTCCAGGTGGGTTTTTTTCTTTATCTTATTTCTCAAACTCTTTTCCTTTAACATTACCCCTTGCAGTGCTAAAGCATTATTTGTCATGCTTTATTAAATTGGATGCCTGCACATGTTTTAGAGCCTGATTTGGTTTGTTGTTGTGCAGGGGGATTTAAGTGTCTGGGAGTTTCTGAGAGAGACGCAGTGACGGGCCTGTGTGGTCACGAGTACTTCTACAACCAGGAGCTGCAGGAGTGTCAGGCTTGTTCGGACTGTGATGGACACCCTGTCGTAGTTCCATGCACAGCTGTCAGCGACACCGTCTGTGGCTTGCTTTCAGAGAACCGACTATCGCAGTCCTGGGCTGCAAATGTGGCTCTTCCTCCTCTCAGGACATCTGGAAACCACATTTTCCCTGGTTTTCAGCTCAACATACGTGGGAAGGAGAGCAGTGATCTTTTGATCAACGAAGCAGGGAAGATCATCTTTCTCCAGCATGGTCTGGTGTGGCTGGATCATAACGTGGCGATAAAACACTGCTGCAGGAACTTCCTACAGGTGGGGATGAGGCTCAACGGAAGCCTGGACGAGGACAGTCAGGATCTCAGCGGCGTTCGGATTGAACAGCCGGATGGGAAGTATTTCCAGGGGGTGAGTGTAAGCACCGCGGTAGAGGTGGAGCCCAACCACACCTTTACACTGCAGCTGAAGAGTCCAAACCAACACTGCAATAAGAGCAAGGACCTTCAGGTCTTCGACGTCGCCACTCCTTCTTTAAGCCTGTTTTGGTTGTCTCATGATACCGGGGCTGTGTCCATGACAGCACAGATGTCCCTGCTGGCACACTACCAGACCAGCTACCGTCCAACTTTCCGCATCACGTCYGTGTCCGACCCCTACATGGTCAGTCTTACTCACGACAACCGTGGGGTGCGCTTCACAGAGAGCGGAGTGGTGAAGTTTGTCCTGCAGCAGGCGCTTTACTCCATGGGCCAAGCCTGCATTCGAGAAGGGTTCTCTTTGGTTGCTTACACGACCCAAAACAGTACCGGCGTGGAGGCAGTGCGGGCTTTTAAGACGGGCGTAAACTACAGGGACACCTCAATCACCCTATCCGGTGCGGTGATGGTGGCAAGCAAAGAAACACTCGCTTTTGAGATCCTGTCTCCATCTCAGTGCAACATCCGTTACTTCGGGGACAGCACCGGCATCAGTATGTTGAGTCTCATCTGGATTCCTTCAGCTGTGTCGTCGGCCCTGACAGCAACCGTGTCTCGGACCAGTCTTCCCTTGGGAGCCGTCAGGAACAAACCTCTGCTGTTCCAGCAGATCAGCCAGGACACCCCACAGGTTCACCTGGCCCGGACCGGGGAAAAAAACAGCTGGAAGAACTTTGTCTTCCACGAGAAGGGGACTGCAAACATCGCCCTTAACCTCAAGCTGATCCACTCATGTAATATAGTTAAACTCACCTTGCAAAGGGTTGGAGGGCAGGGAGGACAGGCAGGTCCTGTTGCCCAGCAGGTGTCTGGATCAATGCCCGAGGGGAGCGAGTGGGCTAGCATTGGACTGAGAGTCTCATTCCAGGTCCATAACGGTACATCCATTTATGTTACTCTGGACTGCATCCGAGGACGAGTTAACCAAATAACAAATGAGGGTGGTACAAACATTTCAGTTCTCTGGGTTGCACTGTGATCCAGACAAGCCAAACTTCATTTGTCAGTGCATTTTTTTAAAATAAGAACAATGTTTTTTGCACAAAACTGAGCTAACACAGTCAACTGCTCCACATATTGTATCACATCTCTGTTTTAATGTATTTTTCAGTTGCTGTCCAGGCTTTTATTATTATGTTTTTGCGTACAATTTAAGTACAGTTTTTTTCTTGAAGTACTTCAGCTGGTTGAGCAGTGACCAACTTTATGTTTGACGTCTGAATGTCTGAAAGTGTGTGCTTGTTTATCCAAGTGTGTGAGCATAATTTGGTGCTTAAATGTTTATGTCAATATGTACACATACAGTAAGATTTTTCATTTTGCATGTAGGTCATTYAATGTTATCTTTGTTCATCCCAGAATATATTTAACTCACAGTATGTAAGCATGTATGCAATGACATTTTTTATACTGTATGATGAGAAATTTTAAAGAACTGATTCAACATTTCAGAAAATACATGTTGTAGAATAGTACCGTACTGTTTAATAGTACTGTATAAGTTAATCAATACTCTGAGTAGCTGGATAGTTTGTCTCAAGAAAGCAACTTTAAACAGATATCAGTTTCCTGCAGTTCTCCATCTGTATTAGCACAGAATGAGTTTAGTGCTGTATTAGGTTGACGTTGACCTATATCTCTATATCGTAATTGCATTTAGATTAAGAAGGAACCAGACTTGAGGTCCACAGAAATATTATGGTTCAAATTAGAAGATGGTGATCACACAAACGACTGTCTACCTGGATTATGACCACAATGCCACTGTTTTTAGGATAGCTCTGAACTTTGGGAATGGAATTTGTGTAAAAAAACTTCTTCAACAATTAACATCAGCCAATTGTAAATGGTTCTTGCAATAATCTCAGTTCACATAACTATAGAATGGTGCTGAAAGATTTGGTACTTAAAACCTGTATCTATATAATTAGCTGAGTCCTAGCTAATTAGATTGCTACGAGAGACTGAAATGTTTTTGCCTGGAGGGGGCGGGGCTTACGCTAAAGGCTAGGGTGAGGAGATCAGAATCAAGATGTGTTTCTCAGCAGCCAGCCGGGGTTGGTTGGGCATTTGAAAGATTTTTTTTTCCTGGAGAAGCTTTAGACATGTCTCAAATGGAGGAGGCCACAAGTCGGGGGAAATTATAACCAATGCCTCAGGTTGTTCCCTAAGTGACCCCAGATAAGCAATCAAAAACAGACAAGTGGATGAAGGATTTTATCCACTTGTCTCCTGTAGTTCCTGTTTTGTGCTAAGTTTCCCTCTTGTTCATCACACTAATCATCATAAACTGGTAAAATACCAAGGTTTTTGTTTAGTAGGGGAGTTTGTCACAAAAAACATTTACCTAAAAATATAACTTTAAATGACAGGAGTTTTGACTATTAATGTTTTCAGTATTTATTCAATACAGCAGGACTTTGATATGTTGCTATACAATGCACATAAATGTTAAAACACAAACCCCACATTGTCAATAATCACATGCCAGTCAGATCCTCTATAATAGGTTAACATGCTCACACTGTTTACAATTGTAAATAATGCAAACGTAATTTCTTTTTTCACCTAAAAGAAAAAAAATAGCTGTCCATTGTGTTTCTCATTGCTTCTGTGTGTTCCGTCCACCGAATAATTGAGCATAAGGAGGTGTTACAGACAGCTGGCATCATCTCAGATTCTTAAGCTCACTTCATTATGCTTCATGATTTTGTTTTTTGGTACTGTTTTCTTGTAGAACACAAGTTTCTGTGTATTGTTCACTCTAAATAAAATATATTTTGTTAGAACCTTGTAAAGATTCCTTCTTGGCTTTGGTCTATAAGCATACAGTTAATGGAGGAAAATAGGACTAAACAGGTTTACAGATAATCTAAAACACATGTAAAGGAAATTTCAAAGTAAAAACACAGTCTTACTTGTAACATGCATAACAAATTCACGATAACTATCATAAGCATTAATATGAATGGCAGTATTTTCTGTTAAATTAGGCTGTGAAATGAAATTTTAACCTCAGATACACTGAAGTTATTTGAAAGCAGTAGACTTGCCAACTGAGCACCTTGAAAATCAATATGCTGTAATTTGTTTAAAGTAGTTGCTAATCAAGTTCAAATTATTTTTTTCAATCCATTGGGATTCTAATAGTTTAAACAAAACAAAAAAGACTGTGAGGTAATGAACGGGAGAGAAAAAACGAAGGGGGAGGGGGTCTGGTTATGAGAAACAATCAAATGTTTCTGTCGACTGCCTGAATTGAAACCAGGTGTTTTAGGGGAGCGTTGCCGCAGATGTCAGATGCTGCAGATCAAATGACTCTTTCAGCACATGTTTCTGAGACATCAGAGAGAAAGAGGGACAGGGAAAGAGACAAGGAAGAGGAATGTTTGTGATTCTGCATGCTAAACTTCACATTATAGGTTATTTTTAGATGATAGCTCCAATGAATCCAAACTGATGGTGTCTGTTTCCAAAAMACTGTAGTTTTTAAACATTGAAGCTTAAGGAAGACAGTGAAATATCCTCCACAGTGAAGGACTATCACGGCATCAATCAGGCTTGTGTGAATGAACATTCCTTTAAATTTTGAGGGGAATATGTTGCTCATTTGGCTTTACATACATCTCTATGTTCAGTAGCTAATAATATACTACAAAAGAAAAGTAAACTTAAATAATTAAAAACGCGATCATACAAAATGAGGAGAAAGGTTATGAAAAGCTTCATAAAAGTTGAGGGAAAAAACCCTCATTGTTTAAGCAGCCAAATCAAAGCAAAAAGTTACATGAAGAAAGTTTTAATAAATTTTAATAAACCAAAACATACCATTGATTTTAATGGTTTGTAACAGTTGACTTTCTGCCARAATATTTGTGGTAAAAGCAGACAGCAATTCTTCATCACATCTGCATCTGCTGTGGATTTGTTTTATTTAGGAATTCTGATTTTCCTCAGTCAGTGACATTAAATTTACTTGAACACAATAACCKCAGATGTTCCCAAAAGCAGCAGTCTTTCAGCATCTTACCAAACCAGTTCAACACTCTTATGTTCACTCTCAAACCTGTACCAGCAGCATCCTTTGTTCATGTTTGCTGAAAACATTCAACATGGTGTCATTTTAATAAACACATAAATCTCATTGATTTGTGTTATCCCAAACCTGGCTCCAGTCTGCTCCAATAATGACCTAAAAGCAGATGACAGGCTTGCTTTAATCAGAAGCCAATGTTCCCGTAAGTGTTCAGATCTTGCGTCTATATGTTTTTACCATAAGGTCAGTATTGTTATGCAAATCTCCTCTCTGTGTTACAGAACTGAGCAGTATTCAATGTGAAGGCAATGACAAAAATGTTCTTCCTGAATAGTAGTTTTTAGCCTCTTTTTTCAAGGTTGCAGGCATTTACTGAGCAGTTCCTGAGCAAAACTAAACACTAACAGTACTTCTGAGCTGACACTAAAGTTCAGACATGACTGGGAGGTGAACACTGCCAACATGTACCAACATATGGCTCATCTTAGTTACAGAATCTCTCTCTCTCTCTCTCTCTCTCTCTCTCTCTCTCTCTCTCTCTCTCTCTCTCTGTCTCTCTGTCTCTATCTCCACACACACACACAC